TTTTTTTTTGTGAAAAATGAGTTTCGTAATAGTAATTTTTTGAAAAATATATAGTTAAAAGTAAAGAAAACTTTGACTTTACATATAAAATTATTTTATTGAAAGAATGTGTAGTCGAAAATGAGTTTGAAGAAAAATAAGGGTCTCGTTGGTTTTAGTTTCTATTTTTAGTTTTGAGTTTATTTTCAATTTTCTATTTTGAAGATCTGTTTTAAATTGTTCAAAACGTGTTTAATTTATCTTTCTAAAAAATAATTTTTCAAAACAGAAAATTAGAAAGTTCATGATACTTTATTCCATGAAATTTTCCATGTTTTGAACATTTTTTGAATTTTCACATAATACACTCAAAACGTTAAAAATGCATGTTTCATTTTTCACAAAAAAATAAAAGAAGCAACAGAAGTCGGCAAAAATAAAAATCAAGTTTGTGTAAACATTTAGTTCACAATCCTTTATTAATGATCGTGATCAACTTTTTTTCATTATCTTTTGATTTTTCAAATTGTTAAGAATAGCGGATCACAAGAATAAAATAATCGATTACAAATTCAGTCAAAATATTTTACGAAACACTCTGCATATGGTAACCGAGTAACGGTTGTCTATAGATGCAAATTAGCTTCTCCCTTCTATTTTCATAGGTTTCTTCGGAATTCTAAAAGAAACAAACAGACATTGGATTGTGTTAAACATTGTGCTTAACATTTTGGGACCAATGATGTAATTCATTCTAGATGGCCCTATGATGCAGCCGAAATTAAACTGAGTCCAGCCCATTTGAAAGAATGTAGCCCGGCTGCCCATTTCCATTTTAAGTATTCTCGCCTTTTGCTGAAGTGAGACTTTAATTATTATTCTTAAAGGCTGTGATGATGTCATTTGGAGATGGCGCAACCGTTGGATGCTTCTGACCTTTATATTATTTGGCTGCCTCTTCATTTTGACGATGCTGTGAGATATTGTCTAGGGTTTTCTTTCTTTTGCTCTATGTGTTCTCTCTCTCTCTAAAAACTCTTGATTTTCGTATGTAATTTGTTGGTTCTAGATATTTTTGGTGAAGTTTAGTGTAGATTACCGTGTAATTTTGGTGATTATGTTCTTGGTTGAACAGTAACATTTGGTTACTTGGTGTAATCGGAGTTGAGTGTTCTTGAGAGAAGAAATTGGGTCTGTGGGCTAAATCCGTTTGGATTTCTGTATTGTGACTTTTGTATTGATAATCGTTGTTGGTTTCTAGTGGATTAGAGTGATAATCACTTTGGTGGATGCTCAACGTGATAATTAGCCCTTTCTAGGATGAAAATCCGAGCCTAAGGGCCAAAAATCACTCTTGTTATTTATTTTCTGTTACACGATAGGTGTTATTTGGGACTGTTTGTTACAACAGATTGTGACGAAGATCGCTTCAATATCTCAAACAATGAATTATTAGATGCCTTTTCTGAAGCAGTATCTCTACTTTGGCTCCTGAATTTGGATTGTGAGCTACTAAACTTAGCTGTAGAGTTCCTCGTTGGTCGACTCTCTCTAGAGATCTGCATGTTAACAAAACATAGCTTGTTTGTTTGTTACTGCTGACTAGGACAACGTAGAATCAAATATAGTACTTGAAAGAGCAAGAACACAAAACCCGGGCGCCAGAAAAATAATCCAATCTCATAGAAGAGAAGGTGTCTTGGAAAGTATTTTAACTATCGTAAAATCTAACGCATGTTCATAACTCAAAAAAAAAAAAACACCCATTTATGTTCCGACAGATGAAAGAGACACAGCATTGTACCGATTATATTTTTCACGATAATAAAAAGAGCCCTATTTATATATCCTAAGGGGTCCCTAGCTTATCGTCCAGAGTCTAATGTCACAGCACATTGCTAAGAAATGGAATAATCATTTTACATATATGCATGTGGGAAATAATATAGTAATATTAGTTTTGAGTTTGAAAACTCAAGATGGTGAGAAGGAAAATTAGTTGGATTTTGGACACTGACTATCCCGTAGGTTGAATTTTGGGAAAAAATATATTATATGAATTCGATATATAGAACAACCTGAAACTAGACGTGTGAGACTGGTGGCAGCAGTGGCGGAGATAGGGGTGGGCTGTAGCCCACCCTTGCCCAAGCCCATCTTCTTTATAAAAAAAAAAAATTGGTTAAAACCCATTTTTTTTCACTGTCCAGTCCATTAGCCACCCGTACCTTTCATTCTTGGCTCCGCCCCTTGGTGGCAGCTAAAATAAGGTAAAGTAAGCTGTTAAGGCTAAACGAAGTTTGAAAAAGTGATGGCAAAGTCGAGGAAGGCAGCACCCATAGCTAAGAAAATTACAGCTAGGAGTGCACACAAGTCAGAGAAAAGATTTATTGCTGGTGTAGGAGATCCAAGGGCGGCAAATCATGCATGAGCAAGAGGCAACCAAAACATGAAGCCAATAGTGCGAAGTCACGTGTTGCCAAGAGGCAAGCCGAGAAGAGAGTTGAGGTGCACCACTTAGATGAGCAAAATGAGAAAATCTAAGCTCAATAAGCCTGAGAAAGCCTAACTAAGGCAAGAGGTCGACTGTGTATATAAGCGAGCACCAAAGATAGTCGTGATGACGGAAAACTAAGGGTTTTTCAAATCATTATTTTTTTTTCAAAATTTTCGAGTACCGTTGTGAGTTGATTGGTCGTCACATTTTTTTTCATTTTTTGTACAACTTTTTCATGTTATCAACTCAAGAACGTGTAGGATATTTAAATTCTCTAGAGGGGAAAATTACTCCTCTTTTATCCTTGAAAGACCAACTTAGTTATGAGAAGTAGCAAAAGTGCTTAGAATTATATAAACTATGAATGAAACTTGACATTCTGATAGAATTTTCAATTCCAAGGCTAGTTTGTAGATCCACTAAACAGTTCCTCCCAAATCTCTACAAAAGCCTTTAGAATGACTGAATGATACTGGCATGAATTGAGAGACAGAAAACACAGCACGAGCTGCTCCAATTCGTTGGCATCAAACATTTGTTTTTCCATTATCATTTCTAACATTGACTCTTTGAAATCCTCGTAAGGGTCTGTAGACCTCTTCTCTACGACAAAACTCTCTTTCACTTTCCCGTCCACCATGCAAACTGATTTCTTCACCCGAGACTCACTTTCTGGCACAGCCCTATTGCCATCTTTCCCATCATTTGAATTGCAATGTTTGAATCTTTGTGACTTAATACTTTTCTGCTTCATTTTCTTGTTTTCATTGAGGGGCCCCTCTCTTTCTGTCTTCAAGGGATAATTCGAGTCATATGGTAAATCAGACCTTGGAGAAGATGAAAGTATGCTTTTAGTCTTATCACTATCTTCTAATGAAGTGCTCGTGCTAACACTGGCTTTCGATTTATTTGTTGCGATTTTGTCTTTTTTCCCCTCCCTTTCGACTCTGGAGACTGTAGAGTTATGAATTTTTTTATTAGGCTTGTCACCTCTTTTCATCTTGCAATACACAGGGGATGAAGTTTCGTCTTTGCAATTGGATGTCACATCCATTGTGCATGATCCACTACCAAGTGAGGAAATTCTTGATGAGACATGGTTTTTGTGGAAAGATTGATTCGGAGTTGATGGTGGAGGGCTTGGAAAATCGGGGTAGGAAATGTCGAATGGTCTAGAATTAACAGGGGAGGAGAACTTGTATGCAGAAATAGGCAAAGGACCCTTAGGTGATATAGAAGATTTTGTAGGACGACAAAATTGGAAGGAAAGAAGAGAGAGTCGAAGTTTTGGTTGTTTGGCCATCTCTTGTGTAGTATATTGAGACTCTTGAGCATTGAGTATGTAACCGCAGGAGGATGTATATATATATAGCCCATGTACATGCAATAGGATATACATATAAAGAGAAAAAAACAGATAAGAAAGAGAGGCCGGCTGATGCTTCTACACACGGTAGCAAGGTTGGCCGTTTGTAAATGACCAAATCTAGGTGCGGTTTGTACCTAAAAGTTACTATTGAAACTCCTTTTGAGATACCATTGTGCAAAGAAAAAGTCCTAATTTTCTACATTATACTTGGTAATCTCGAGGGTTATTCCCTTGTACAGGGGAATTGTGTACAAAATAAATACGGATGAAGTGTTGGCAACACTGCATTGGACACTTCCCAAAAAATGCAGTGTTGACAGCATATCTGTGACTGTTACAGGTAGCAAAGTTCAGTCTTGAATTAACCTTGAACAAATATTAAATCCGGATATATAAACTGTAAATTTGACAAATTTCTTTTATTCGCCTTAGTGTAAAATACACGAGAGAGACAATTAATGATTAGTTCAAAATTACAATGTTGTCTGAATTGTACAGAGAATTTGTTCACAGGGGCCGGGCCCCACATGTATTAAAAAAAAATTGTGCGGACCCCCACACAATGTGTGTTGTCTGTACAATGTCCGTAAAAAAAAAAATTATGTACACCAAGGGGGGTTCTGTCTGGTTTTGTTAAACCAATGGTATCTAAAGATGGGATTAGGAACAACACTCATGTAATTAAACTTGATTTAGTTAAAGATTAGATTTTTAGTAAATTTTGATAAAAGTTGATGAAATGTGTGGTTGAAAAGTTTATAAATATTATGGGTTTTACGAAATATGTGATTGAAAATAAGTTTTAAAAAAGGAAGGCCAAACATGGGCTATATGTGATTCCGTATCATATTGGGCAAATATCGCATTCATCACCTCGCAATAATTCCACGAAAGTTGAAAAATTCTTCAGAAGACCCTAAAAGAAAAGAAAAATCAGTCACTGCCAAACAATATACTATTAGTACTATGTTTTTCAACATTTTTTATGTTAAATGTTAATTTATTTGTTCCCTTGTCACCTAAAAAACAGACAAATAGATATATTTGGCTGTCAATTAACTTCTGCCTTACGATAAGAATTCAGAACAAAAAGAGAAAATTTGCAACAATTCCTAGCGGGTTAGGTATTTGACCAGGCCTTATTTTCTCCTCTATTCCGTTAAAATTGGACCATTGTTTTGTCTGTTTTAGCACGATGCACAAGTAAAACTAAACACTGTAGCTAATCTGAAGATTTTGATGAATTTTAGATGTTGATTTAGACCCCGTTTGGTTTGAATTAAAATCTCAAATCAAAGTCAATAATAAATTTTTGTCACACATTTCATGGAATCCACAACTTTTCAACTACAATTTCATCAACTTTATAAAAATCTACTAAAAATCTGATTAATCTATACCAAACAAGGGCTTAGATTTTTTGAAAAAAATAATAATAATTGTAAAAAGTGATTTTTCTTTCTTTCTTTTTTGAGAATTTGAGGTTAAAAAGTATTAAAATGTTATGGGTTCACGTGCAAAATTATTTTAATGATAAAATTTGTTGTTAAAAATGAATTTTAGGAAAAAAAAGGAAAATTTAAAAACCTGTCCCAAGCATGGACTTGGTGCCCCCAAAGAAGCAAATGTGACTTTTATTTTAGTTGACAATTATTAATCGATTTTAATTACTCTTAACGTTGGGAGATTAGTTTGATAGCGTGCATTTTAGTTACATCTGAAATGATGATTGAATTTTTAGTGAATAATATGCCGGCTTTATAAGCTTTTATTAACTTTTACTTTTGAGAAATCTTTTCCATGTATCATCCTTACTTGAACATCGATTTTTTTTTAATGTCTTAATTACTTTTTAACGTCACTACTTGTTTGTTCAATAAATTAGAACAAAGTAGTGGACCCACTGTCACCGGTGCCCAAGCTTTCGGTTTGAGCCTTAACGGGTCGAGTAAGCTCGTATTTTTTTTTTAATTCGTTATAAATATATAATTTTTTATAATGTATTTAAAATTTGTGCAATTTATACGTATTATAAATAATAATTAAATATTAATATAAAAAAATACATCTAAATTTGACATAAAAATTAAAAAAAAATTGCCTGACTCGATCCGTGACGAACCCGGGCTAGCTCGGGCTCGAGCCGACCCCCCAAAATGTGGCTCGGCTCGATGCCACCAAGTCACGGCCCGCCCTGTTCCTACTTTTTCCGGGTCGAGCCGCCGAGCTTTTTTGACATCACCAGTTAAAGTTGACAAAATAATGCCAAAAAACCTAGCCTTTTTTTTAACTTCATTAAAATGTATTTTGGAAGAATGATTTTTTTTTTTTTTAAGAACGAGTAGTTAAAAAAGAATGAAAAATCTTGGATTTAAATGTATATGTTTTATTGGGGAATGTATGATTAAAAAAAAAAATGATAAAATGTATTTTGGATAAAATGGAACCCAAACAAGAGTTTAATCTAATCTTTCCGACCTAAACAATTGCCAATGTCTAAAAGACAAATAATTTCAATTTATGCACAAAACTCATCAAAATTTGGATTGAATACACGACCATTTAAGAAAATTGTGCAAAATGTTTGAAGAAGACAGCTCTTATTAAGAAATTAAAGGATATATTCAATACGAAAATATATTGAAGGAACTTGTAAAACACTTATTATTCATCAAATGCTCAAGTAATATTGTGAATACATTACTCTATTTATAG